TAAAGTATTAAAATCAATTCTAAACAACTTTTACTTTCGAATTATTTTACATCAAAATACTTCTGAAAAGATGCACTTTTCAATAAAGTTCAAGTTTCTGGACTTATTATAATTCATATCTGAGCAAAACAAAGCCCAAATTTATGCTTCATTAATCTCCCCTACTCTTTTTCCTCAGAGCTTGCTAATGTTATGTTTCTATTCAAGCACTGCAGTTTATATATAGGATTTCCATGTAACAGGCCTGGGAAAAATGGTATGTGTTACATCCCCAAGACTATATAACCTGTAAGCAATTCACAGGCAGCTGTCTCTTCTTCAGTTTACTAAAAAAAAAGATACTAAATCAGTCTCTGGCCATGCTCTTCTAAGAGTTTTTTGAAATGTAACAAACACAAAGAAAGAGGTCCAGACCTTCTGGTTTTCACATGGCAATCTTCTTGGAGTGACCCACCTAAGCACAGCACATCATGAGCCTTTACAGCTTCAGTGCAAGTCACCAGTGCTGGCACTGCTTTGGAGGGTCTGAACTCCAATGCCACTGCACCCCTCTCTTCAGGCCCCCATCCCCGCTGAAACTTCATCATGGGGCCCAGCTCCCTTCACCCTGGTCCCTCTGCCTTCCCCCATTCTCCTTTCTCTCCACCCTGCACCTTACTCCCATCTCATCCCACTCCTTCACGGTGCTCATGTTCTAAGCAGGTCCCACCACACTGCCAGTGATTCCTGAAGTAAACCAAGCACACACCACTGTTCTGTATTCACTGTTTTGACTTTTATTTGTATTCTGCACAGTCTTGTTTCCACCTCAGCCAGGTCACGAGCTTCTTGGGCTGAAAGCAGTACTGGTACAGCACCCAGCACAAGAGCCCTCCCTGGCAGTCAGCCCCTTCCTGCACTGCCCAGTGCAGTACAAATGTGTGTGCAATACAGGTGAAACAGTCTCTCCTTAAAGCATTTCAGAAAATCAGAGGAGTCCAACAGAAGGGAAAAAAAGGCAGAGAGAAGGGACAGCAGTGGCAGGAGATAAAGGAAATAGAATACACAAGTTGGTTTTCACTGGAAGCAGCATTCCAAGGCGATACATCCTCTCCTTTCCCTGATGTCCTTCCTTGACACAGCTATGCTAGAAGCAGCATTCCTCTCCATTATTCCTATATAACAGTCCTTTTCCTTTCTTTTTTCCTTTATTTTCTTTGTTTTCCCTTCCTAGATTAATTTTAACATTTACTTCCAGCCCAGACTGACACATACATGCAAGAAGAAGTACCACCTGTATGGCACTTCCTCACTGGCTGGACTATCTCAGGTCTGTGCTTTCACTCCATGCTTGCTAAGAACCAAGAGGTATTTAAATTCTTTTCACTTCTTTTCCTCATCTTTCCACCTGCCAACAGCAGTCACAGCCTCAAAAATTATTCTTCCTTCTTCATTTCAGGACTGACATATAGCCTAATGTAACAAACCCAAACATCTTCACTGCTAAAACCACCATGGCAATGAAGGGGCTCATGCCTTAAAAATACTAACCAGTAAATTATTTTCATATATCTAAAACTACATTTTAGGTGAGAAGACAAAAGATTATAAAAACAGTGTTTTCCTTTCACTTTTATCAACACAAATATAATCCCTCACTACTCTCTCAGTCATATCTCCGGGGTTCTTTTCAGAGAAAAATGAAAATCATTATAAAAACCCAGCCAAAAACCTCAAATTGAGGAAGAGGTGAGCAACAATCTACAGATGAATCACACAGCTTTGGATGCAACTCGGTGACCATTCAGGTACAGTTTTGCAAGTGGCTTGAATGATAAATAAAAATGAAGAATCATCTGGGGCAGGAATACCTCAAAAACATCCAAAGTCTGGTCTCAAGAAAGCAAAAGTGCTCTGAGCCACCTCTTCCCAGACAGCTGTCACACAAAGCACAAATACTTCATGTGTGATCTCTGCATGACAGGTATCACACAGTACACTATGTGTAGCTCTACAAAACTCCTATTTACCCTCCCTCCAACCAGATGAAGCACACTTTGTAGTCAGCCCAGCAGCTGATAAACTGGGTTTGCAACACTACACCCCAGTACCTGAGAAATCATTGTTACTGACAAAGGCAGCAGGGGCAAATTCCTGTTTAAAGGAGCGCCTGCCATGGAGCCTCTCAACCCCAATTCTTGCTCTTCTCCCAGTGAGTCCTGTCAATAATCCCTGTTCCTGCCACCCTCAGCCCCTACACCTGCTGGCCCTAAGTGACCACAGAGGTGCCCTGCCAGCTTCCCTGCTGCAAGACCCCGTGTGTCAACAGCACTCCTCAGATTATTAAGAATTAAATTCACAAAGAAATACTTTCAGCTGAGTCAAGGCCACAGCCTTCAATACTTGGCAGTCTCAAGGGCCTTTTCTGACACAGGATAACACAGCAATGCATGAAAGGGAGAAACAGAGAATAAATATAGGAAAGTAAAAAAAACAAAACACTAAAAAAAACCCACCCAACAGATATTGTATAACCTTTTGAGTAGCACAAGATTTTCCTGATTACAGCCTGACTGAAAATAATGATGTAGAAATAATTTCAGGAACAGGAACTGAGAGCCCTACTTGTCTGCCTCCACTGGGGAGGAAGCCTGTCCATGGGGCTGGTGCTCTATTCTTGATGGAAAATCTTCACCTGGAAGAGTAACTAAAAAAAGCTGCAGCAAAGGATAGCAAACTACATCAGTTCTAGGACAAAATGTGCTTCAAGGCCACACCAGAACACCTCATTTTTGCAGGCACATACATGAAGACACAATCTGGCCTATATTCCATATGCCTTAAGTTACTGTTCATAGGGGAGGGGAAACAAAAAACTCTTGCGTTACAGCAGAATCTGCAAAAGAATAAAATTAATATTACAGCTTGCTGGACAGAAGAACTCCAGTTCCTTATAACACAGTACCAGGGCAGTGCCAATAAGCCTCCATACCAAGAAGATAAAATTGGGAAACTTTAGTCCTGAACATTTACCTATGAAAACTCCTTTTATACATAACAAAACAAATAAGCAAAAAAACCTTAAACCTTCTTTCAAATTAAAAAAACTCTATAATTTGTAAAAAATGTTCCCTTTGTTAAGACAGTGCTTTGAGTTAAATAACCTCTAGTAATAGGCAACATTTCTCTTGCACTGAAACATTTCTCATTAGCCAATTAAATACTTGATTAGCTCTTCAGCTGTGTTGCTAGCAAATATAAAATGCAGCAGCCACCCTCCCAGCCCATCATTGCAAATATATCCCTTTTCCAAAACGTGCCTTTATTCAGGCCCATCAGTTTGCTGCTTCTTTACAGTTAAAGCAAACAATGATCAATTTGGTACCCAAAGAAGTGAGTTTCCAGTTGCTGGCATCAGTTGAGCCAGTAACTTTAATTCCTATTAAAGAGCAAAGTGCTGTGTGACTAACTCTCTCCTTTCAGTCCTGCAGCAAGGGCTCAAAGCCTGAATTGAGGCAAGAAGCAGAACAGGCAAAGATATGAGACAACTCCTCCTGTTAGAAATAAAATATGGAGAGCATATAACAACAGTTTTCCTATTTGAACATCATACAAAGAAGTGTTGCAGTGTTTTTAGCCCATGTCCAGAGAGATGGTTTTCCATCACAGCAGCTCTGATCGCAGCACTGTACATTACACTGGTGAAACATGGCAGCCCCATTTAACTCTAGACAAAGCTGCAATTTTATCAACACACCTTGTGTCAGCTGTACCAAAGTATCTCAGGTGGCAGCTGCTGGAACTTGCACACAAAGTAGGCATGTACCCAAAAAGAAATTTAAGTGTTCAAGAATCCAAGAGCACATGGGAAAGCCAAATTCTGAGTCTTTTAAACGTGCAAGTAATCACACCGCAAATATTTAAGAATCTGTAGGAATCTAGCTTGTCACTAGACTTTCTGGACTTGTTTTTTTATGGAAAGGTGAAAAAGAAAAAAAAAAAAAATTGGTGTGCATGGATTAATTTGAATATATCCACCACTGCTTCAAAAGTTTATGAAAAACACGGTAATTCACATTTCTGGAAAATGTTGCTTTGTTGCTGTGGGGTCTGAAGCCAGGAGAAAAGGCAACATTATATAATATCTGAAAGAGCAAGGTAATTGAATAAACCCACTCTCTTCCACAATGGTGCATATTACTTCATCCACGATGGTCTGGAAAATGAGTTTAACTCTATAGATAACTATGTTCTTCACAACAAAAGGAATGAAAATGAGAGGAAACCGTTTTTGTTCACCAAACAGAAAACAAACAAAAACCAGCAGAAGAGCCAGTAAGGAAAGAATGGTTAATCTCACATTTCTAAAAGGGTATTATAAACAAAGCATGGCGAACAACAAAAATAAAGGATTAAAAAAAAAAGATACGAAAGTGCTTAATGGTGTTCTTTTAAATATTTACTTTGCTGCTATTTGGAGAATAATTTGTTCCATTTAGTAGCATTGGGCTCAAAGGACTGCTTTAATCCAGAGAGATTAATTATAGCCTTTGGAGTTATAAACACAATTTGGGAAGTGAAGCGGAGAAGAGGAGAGAGACTCCTCTCACGCTGGTGTTTTAACAAGTTTATGTGCTTTGGGGCTACGCTACACAGGCCACACTTGTACACTGCAGGCAGAACACTGCACAGGACACCCATGAATTGGGGAGAAACAGCCCCCAAGACATCCAGGGGGCTATCCTGAGTACCCTACAGTGTTGCTATAGGCAACTAAAATACTTCTCAGGTGTCCTTCATCAAAATACAAGTTCACTGGCACATTACAAAAACGTCATCTCACTTTTATTACCTGCATCAGAAAGGAGCTGCCACACTCAGACAAGCAGCGGACACAGGGTCTCTAAGACCTCTCACTCACATGCTTTCACGTATTTCTCCCTCTGGTCATCACTGTGTCCCAGACCATGAGACACAGGGACCTACAACAATTACTAGGGCAAAGCTGGGACAGATCTTACCTAGCAAGGGATTGGCTGCTCCCTCCTCCGAGCTTTCCTCAGCCCCCTCCTCTCCCAAGCCAGAGGTGGCTGAGTCCTCCGGGGCAGATGCAGAGCCAGGAGTGCTGGGCCCGCTGACGGATCCCGAGTCCCCTTCCTCACTGCTGGAGCCGTAGCGGTCCGGCTGGGCGGCTGTCCCGCCCTCGCTGCAGCTCCTCCGCTCCTTGCGGTGCACCCGCGAGTGCAGCACCATTTGGTGGTAGGTGCGGAAGATCTTCCCGCACTCGAAGCACTCCGTGGACTTGTTCTGGGTGGCCCGCCGGCTCTGCCGTGAGGCAGGGCGATAGTCCAGATCCCCGGGGCCAAGCGGGCAGCTCTCCCCTGCTGGGACACTGCCGGTTTTCTCCAGGCGCCCACCGGTGCAGCTCTTCTTCTTGGGGTTGCTGGGCGAGTCCTGGTCTCGCTTGCGCTTCTCCTGGTTGACAAGGATATACTCCCTCTTATCCTTGTCGTAAGTCACGTCTGCATCTGCCAGGGCCTCATCCCATCCCACATACTTCACATACTCTGAGGGCTCCACTACTTTTCCTTTGGTGGCCAGCTGCCAAGCTTGGTAGCTACTGACCGGATCCAGCTCAGCTACTCTTTTCCCAGGCTGTCCTCTCGTAACTCTATCCAGCCCTACAGATGGCCGTAGATTGAGACACTGCAAGAAAAACTGCTTGGTTACCGAGGAGCTCAGGCTCCCATCAGTCAAGCCCTCAGCTTTATCCCCGGTGCTGCCCGGCTGCACACGGTAGTGAACAGCATTATGCACTTTCAGGCTTTCCATATTTGTAAACAGATTTCCACACTTGGTGCAAACTTCATACAGAGATAGGCCGGTCACAATTGTCTCCTCTTGTATCACGTCATTGATAGTGGCAATCAGCTCCAAATCATTTTTTGGTTTGTTTTTGCTGCCAGACCTGGGACCATGCGACTTCATGTGGTTTTTGAGAAACCAGGGCTCCTTGAATCTCCTGCCACAAATATGGCACCCGTGATCAAATGACCCCCTGTGCTTTTTCATGTGAGCTTTCAGGAACCAGGTTTGACTAAAGGTCTGACCACAGACTTCGCACGGGAACTCGCCCACATTCAACTCGCTCTTGCAGTTCTCGGTGTAGGTCTCCCCATTGGGGACCTGAGCTGTTATATGGTCTTTCTCTATGTGGTTTAACAGCGTCTCCTCCCTCAGGGTCATGTAGCTGCACAACCTGCACTTGAATGGTTTGTGCACCTGGTGAAGGTGCTGCTCCAGGTCCTTCTTCCTTTCGAATTTGTTTTTGCAGAAGGTGCACTGGTAAGAGGTCAGCTTGTCATCCTCCTCAGCTGGTGCCATCTCTGTGACCTCCTTCTTGCTGCTTCTCAACAAGATCTTGCTGCTATCGAGCGGAGCGGTACCGTTCAAGATCTTGTTGCAGGCAGACGTGCTTTTAGTGGGGCTGGTGCACCCGCCAAGGCCCTCTGAAACACCCATCTCCCCCAGCTGTGCCTCTCCCATCTCTGCCTCGTGCCCCTGACTTAAAGTGCCTGTCCTGTGACTGCGGATGTGAATCTTCAAGTTGCCCTTTTGGGAAGCTCTGTGATCACAGTAAGGGCATTTGTAGGGTTTCTCACCTGTGTGCTTCCTCATGTGCTGCGACAGGGAGCTCTGAAAAGGGAAACTTTTACCGCAGATGCAACAGCTGTGGCACATGGTCTTGTCAGCATCCACGTCGCTCTTGCTTAGCTTGCCAGGGCTGGAGGATCTCCGTAACTCCATTTCTGCCTCTCTGCTACGATCCATCTGTATTACAGCAACAGGGGGTAAGCGGGGCAGGAGGACAAAAGCATGTCCGGCAGCAGAGCAGGGCTGGACTGCGTTCTCAATCATACGGTTCTGCAGGAAGGTGTTCTATTGCTTCATTCTCAGGGTAACATTTCTTTCAGCCGCTCCACGGAGTCCACAGCACCAATTTATTTCTGTGTGCTTTGTAAGCAGAAGGCATAGATCACCTGAAACAAGAACAAAATCATACAAATGTACAGATTCTTAAATATATTCAAACCTGTTCATGTTTTGAATTCAACGGCTTCCATCACTCACTCCGCACTCAGAAGCACACCATATGACAATCTATTGCACCAAAAGGCAGTAGTTTCTCTTTTTGTTGATATTCTACACTTCAATGACAAGCATAATTACTAAAAAAGTAAAATCCATAAAAGAGCAAATACTCATTTCCATACACTGACATCAGTGTCTTGAACAAAGTGTAAACCTTAGAAATATTTTTTGTTTTAAAACCAGGCAGAAGTGGCTAAAAATACACCTTAAATGAGGAAAACATTTCTTGTGGGGGTTATTACACTTTAAATCTGTGGCTTTACCATCATGTGTAATTTCATGTAAAATACTTACTTGCCAAAGATAAAAGACTTTCCTAGGGATTTTAGTAAGTATCATATTGCTGCTGGCAACTGCATTACTTTGTGTCTCAGACAGCTCGGCTGTGCTTGAAGTGGCAGGCACAGAAAGGCGCAAAGGCTGAGGACGCGCAGTACTTTGATTACAGAGCAAACAAGAATGCAGAGCCTGACAAAGCACTCGTGAAAACTAGAAGTTATTTCCTGCTGGACAGTGAACTAAAAAGACCCTCCAAGTATAACTTTTGGTCTCAAACTAACAAAGTGATAATGTAGCTATCAAATTACCTCAAATGTGAGTGATTTATGTCAACATGACACACAGGAAATGACACCACCACCCACCTCAATGAAACAGAATTTTAACTGTAAACAAACAAACAAAACAAGAAAAAACTCTGATTAACAGAGCAGACTAATAAAAGTTTAAATACTTTTTTATCTCTTCATGAATAAATGCAAGGGCCAGTATCTTAGTGCAAGATGAAACACATCAGCACCTTATATACAGCAAAAAACAACTATCGTAATGCACATAGGCTGTTTCTTTTCCAATTACTACAGTGTAAAACAAAATCTTCCCCCCCTCATATCCTCATTAAGGACTACAAACACCACATGACTAGGATCAAAGGACACAGCATTCTCTAATGAAGAGAACTGATCTATTGCCACATTAAGAAAACATCAGCTTCTTAAAATGTAGCTAAAAATATGCAGGGCACTAATGAGACCATATATTCCCACATCCATCACCTGACATCTATGACTCAACAAAGAGCTACAGATCTACAGCTGCAAATTTTAAGATTTCTCACTGTATTCACCTCTTCAATAGTAAATAAGCAGTCTAACCACATCACCAGCAGGAGCTAAACAAAAAGCAAGACTGTCGCAATGCTCATCTCAGTTACAGGCTACAGAAGAATTTCATTACATTTAATTTAATCTAGCCCTCTTATTTGCTACAAGACATTCATTTTTGGGCTGGATTTTCTGCATATCTAGTATCCATTTTGCATGTCAGGGAGTTCTCAAACAGCATAAAACTCAAAACTACCTTTTCCTCAGAGAACTGACAATAACATTTAAGGGATGAGTTATAAAAGCAATTTCATTTCTTGAATGAAGCATTTTTTAATTATTAAAAAAAAAACAGGTATCTAAAATTCAGAAGTCCATATGAGCAGGAAGTTTACAAACTACAGAATCTGAACTAGTCTTTAAAATTAGTCATTTAAAATCAAACAGACACAGTCTCAGAAGAAACTTTCTGGGTGAATAAAGCATTTCAGCCACACAAATTGTGGCTGCACCAGAAGGTACAAACACACTACACGGAAAATGCAAGTTTATATTGCCCATCACTGGAAGAAAAAACTTAGAGTAAAATCTTATTTATCTGACTTACAACCTAAAATTGCCAAACAACCCATACTGTCTTATAATCAAAGAGTTTACCTAAAAGTCATTAAATCATAAAAGAAACACCAGGTTGAACTATTCTATGCTAATGCAAGCAACAACTTCTTCTGAAATGTTCCACACCATTTCAGAAAAAAAAAAAATATAAAGCTTTGGAAACAATTTTTTTCCATGTATTTTATACATTGTTTTCTACATTCTTAATTTTCTACAGCTTACACCAGTGAGGATATTGCTTCTATTGGCAGGCTGATTTTTTATACTAACAACTTTTTTATTATTTTAAAATGTAGGGTCCATTTTAACTCAACTTTCTGCAGTGTTTCCTGTCTGAAAGTTCAAAAGAGCTTTAAGAGCCAAGCTTAGACAAGAATTCTGTACACAGCAGTCCAAGTACATGTAGATCCAAAGCTTCAGAGTCTCTTTGTTTACTTGGCCACAGATTCCCTGGGCTTAGTCTTGACATATTTCACTTTAATTATTTATAGCATTTTCATTAATGAAACTTAGTTATGAAAATGAGGCTATGAAGAAAGCATTACTTATAAGAAGGGTATTAGCCACTCACAGGAGATCCCCGTAGTCCAGTATTAAATTAGGCCTAAGGGGGAAAAATGTCAGACTTAAAAACTACTGAATAATTTTATTCATCTAAAATACTTAATGGAAGTGTTACTGCCTTCACAAAAACAATCTGAGAATTCTTTTTCATCTTTATTCGTTAATCTTGCCCAATGCACTGCAATCTGTGACTCAGAAATTGGAATAAAGTATTCTTAGACTTGTATTATTTGAACTCATGCACACGTAAGACTCACAAAATTTCAAGTCTGATATTCCACAGACAAACTTCTAGGGGGATGAAGGGTGTTCACCCAATCTGAGCATGCTTTACACAGTACATGGAGGTCAATTTTTGGCTTTGGTAAAATACACAAACAACTCACTTCTCCCTCCTCATATCATTTGAGTGGCTACTTAGAAGTAATTCTTCCAGAGGGGTCTCTCTGCAGAACAGCAAAGCTGGTTCATCGAAAAGTAGTAGATAAAATTACAACTTTGGAAAAAAAGCTTCAATTTAGAAGATTGAACATAGAAAATACGGGAAAAAACACCTGTAAAGAATCCTAACAACAGAAAATAACATTCTGTCTTAATAATTCTTACCTTGGGATTAAATACTAAACATTGAAGATGGCACAATGGATGTAAGACAATTAGTAAATCAAACAACACGAGTTACTCTTTTGTGAGAAGTAAAATTTTGCCATAGTTATCTTTGTTTCTTTCAGCTGTGATGCTAAAAAAGGTTGTATTTTGAAATAATTTCAAATTTTAAAGTATTCTGAAATAATTCTCTATCAGCACATATGGAATGCAGCCACCTCCAGCTACCCTCAGGCTACTGAAAGTGTTTCAGTGTTTCAGGTGATAACCAATAGCCCTTCACTGCTTTGGTCCGAACTCACCCTGCAGTTCCATAGCACTGGCTCATCACACAGAATCCGTAGCAGAGTCACACCCAGCCTGCAGATTCCTCCCAGACTGTCACAGCACAGAAACCCCCACAGCAGACAGGCAAGCCATAAGAAAACACAAGTGAATGTAAACCACAAATTAATATATAGTCTTTAAAAATATTGTGTGTGTCTCAATGGCACTGCAGTGTATGCCAAATACCATCCAGCTACTTGGGGAGCTGTGATACACTAAGGGGCATAGGAATTAGAATCAGTTAATTTTGTTGAACTAGGAATCAGCAGATCATGTAAGAAGCAGCTGGCCAGTATCCATGAGGCATTTTCAGCCCCTCTAAATTATCATCACTGTTTACACATGAGTTTGGTATATAAAGCAAGATGGAAGAGAAAAATGAACAAAGACCCAAAACCAGGAGGGGTGGTGTGCTGAGAAATAAATGTCTTTGCACAGCCAAATATTTTAGTTATAAGGTTTCTTCCTGCACCATTGCCTCACTAGATTCTTTGACGTGACCCACACGGGAACAAATAAAAACAAACTTTGTTTTATTCCCTGATGCCCCCAAAGGGAAATCAAGCTTTCCGACACACTTAAAGCAAGTACTTGTCAGAATCTACTCTATTTCAAACATTTCAGCATCAAAACTCCTTTGGTTTTTAAAACTAAATTGGACAGAATTGTTTCCTTTCAGATAAAGCACATTTGACCAAAGTGACTTGCTCTCACCACAGAGCCCCAACATCTTTTCCATCACCATCCATGGTTTTCCCAGTGAGGCTGTGGCAGCCTGTCCCTGCTGACAGCTCAGCAGGTACCCTGCTGCACAGCTGCATCACCCTCACCACTTCTGCAAGACTCTCAGTTAGCCTTGCAATGAAGCACGCTCAGAAGTACAGGGAAAGAGCACTTTGTGTAACATAGGAGCACTCTAAAATATATATTACTCTTCTCTTCATCCCACCCTCATACTCTGGAAGAGGACCAGGTATTGAGGACTGCCCACAGGTCCTCAAAGGAAAGACACAGCCTCCTAAGAGCCTTTTGTGCCTCTTGGAAAACAATTAATAAAAAGAGAAATTGAAAACAAACAACACAGGAAAACTGGGGGGGAGAGTAAATTAAGACAAAAATAATTGAAAAGATACCACACTGGAAAAGAAATTGCAAATTCACTTCTTACATACAAATATGCTATGCTGTGCAGTGTAGACAGAGAAAAACATAGAAAATTATTCCTGTTTCAACACAGAACAAGCAAACTATGTATTTCTTTTCAATTTCTCCTCAATTAAATATGATTTTTAAAATCACATTGCATGATCTATAGTGGCAAGAAGTAAAAACTCTTCAGTAAGTAATAAAGAAGAAAATACAATTTGGGAAGCTACACAGAACTATTCAAACACCACACTGTATCTTTTAAAGCAAATTTGTTTCAGTCTGGGTGTATTTTAAGTTGCATCTGAAAAATAAATGCACTGGAGAAATAATCACTCTTCTAATCTCCAAGAGGTCTGAACATACACTGCAATCACTCCACCATGTCCCCCTGCCAAGAGCAACAAGGACTTTAAACAAAACAAAAACAAAAACAAAAAAAAAAAAAAAGAAACCTATGGGAGGCATGATCATGTTGAAAAATAATCTCACTGAAAAATTCCTTCTAG